TATACTACAGGGAATTTAGCCCAATGGATTTTAAATAAAACATTGTTGATTGGACTATTATAGCGAATCCTTTTTTCTCAAGCATGGACCATTCACCAAGATAAACCACATGGTGAGCCATAAAACACATGTTAACAGATTTAAATAGAAATTGTAAATGTCTGCTCTCAGACCAAAATGCAATTAAACTGGAACTCAATAACAGAAAGATAACTGGAAAAAAATCCCAACATATGTGAAGATTTAACCACATACTTCTAAACAACACACAAGTCAGGTAAGAAATCTCAAGAGAAATTTTAAAATACGCTCAACTAATGGAAATGAAAACACAGCTCATCAAAAGTTGTTGGATAGGCAGAAGCAGTGCTTAGAGGGAAATTTATAGCATCAAATCCATACCTTAGAAAAGAAAGTTCCAAAATCAAAAAGTTTAGAAATAAAATAATGACACATCTTACAACTTGAACATCTTGGGTTCAATGGAATATGGTAGAGCAGACGACATTCTCTAATCTTAATGCAATAAATCTGGAAATTAAATTAAAAACCCATTAAAAATAAATCTTATCACCTAGAATTTTAAAACACTTTCTTAAAAACTCTTTGGACAAAGTGGAGGTATAAACCCAAATTACAGAGCAACTAGAAAACAGAAATACTGAGAAGAATGCATAAAAGTCTATGGGATACAGCTAAAGCAACAGTCAGAGGAAAATTCATAGCATGTAAGTAATTACATCAATAAATAAAAAATGAAATGAATTAAATATCTAACTCAGAAAAATGGAGATGCCCAAACTCACTCATAATAAGAGAAGTACAAATTAAACCTATACTGAAATACCATGATTTGGGGAAAAAAGAAGAAGGAGAAAGAGGAAGAAGAGGGGGGAGAAAAAAACCTAAAAGGCTGTCTTGGCAAGACTATAGGAAACCTGTAACTTTCATTGCTGGAGCAACACAAATCTAGGAATTAATCCCAGGATCCACTCGCAGCATTGCAGAAGGATTTATGTATAAAGTTTGTAATAGCAAGTGAACTGAAAGCAATTTAAATATCCCTTAGTGCAGGGCAAATTAACATGAACAATGTCCATGCAATGTAAAGCACCCAGCTTTTCATTAAAAAGGAGGGAAATGGGGGCACCTGGGTGGCTCAGTCGGTTTAGCGTCTAATTCTTGATTTCGGCTCAGGTCTTGACCTCCAGGTCCTGAGATCAAGCTGGGCAAATGGCTCTACCATCAGCTTGGGATTCTCTCCCTCTCCCCCCCCCTTTCTCTCTCTCTCTCTCAAACAAATAAATAAAATATATTTTTTTAAGGTGGGAAACAGGGCACCTGGGTGGCTGAGTTGGTTGAGCATCTGCCTACCACTCAGGATCCTGGGATTGAGCCCCACATCAGTCTCCCCACTCAGGGGGAAGTCATCTTCTCCTTCTCCCTCTCCAACCTCCACCCCGCTCATAGTCTCTCTCCCTCTCTCTCTCAAATAAATAGATGAAATCTTTTAAAAAATTTTTTAAAGGAGGAAAATAAGAAAGAATAAAGAAGTCTATGTGGCAATGTGGAATTATTCCTCCGTTACATTGTTTGGTTAAAAGAAAATGTCAAGGTACAGAAAGAGAAGATGCTACAATTTCTGTGAAAATTGGGGGGGAGGGGAGCAGAAGAATATCTATTGCCAGTGATCACAATGCACAGCCAATAGTTACCCCCATCTCTAGGGATGAAAACTGGGTGTTTGGGGCAAGGGTAAGAAGGGGACTTTGCACTTTATGCCTTTTGAATTAACAGTTCAAATAAAGAAAATTTAATTTCAAGAGAAATCCCCCAGCCAGGAAATAACTTCTCTCTCTTCTGAAATCCTTCAGCTCTCATTTCTGGACATGGTGTTGGCCAACACTGCAGGCATTGTGCGGGGTGCCCAGCAGGGGAGGGGAGCTACAGTATCACGGCTGAACTAAAGGGGGGTTCTTGTCCTAAATCCAAAGAGCCCCAGATGCTTCAAGCTAATCCATCTCTCTGCCCGTGGCCCAAACACTCCCTCCCACTGTCCCAGCCCCTCCCCTGGCCTGATAGAAGTTATACGTGCTGCCCTACCCCCGCTACTGGGACGGAGCCCAGCCTCTTGGCCCTGCCAGCTCCCCTTCTTCACAGAAAACTAGATGCTCCCCACTTCCCCCGTGGCTTCTCCAGATTATCCCCGCTCCCCCCCAAGTACAGGCTGCCAGGGAGAGAAGAAGAGATACCCAGCAGCCCGTCTCAAAATTGAAAGACGTGCCTATGTGGGGCACCTGGCTGGCTCAGTAGGTAAAGTCTGCAACTCCTAATCTCCGCATCGTGAGTTTGAGCACCATGTTGGGTGTAGAACTTACTTTAAAAAAAAAAAAAAAAAAAGTGCACCTGTGCCTGAGAACCAGGGGCTTCTGCCTCAGGCCAGGGCAGGAGAGGGCAGCTGGGTGATGGAGATGACCAAGTGACACATAAGGAAGGAGCGGAGGGCTGGGGAGCTGGGGGCGTGGAAGGGGCTACAGTGTTGTCATCTCATGACCAACTCCTGCCACTTTCCTCCAACCCCAGGTTCCCTGTGGATTTCATGCTTCCCACCCCCACCAGCCCTCCAGACTACAGAGAAGGACCTAGGGGATGGGGTGCCTTTCCCTCCTCAGTCTCGATCATGAAAATCATGGAACCCCGGGAAATGGAGTGGTCTGGGAGGAAGGAAGAGTTTCCAGAAGTGACCCCTGAGATGGGAGGTGATCAGGGAAGAGTCGGGGAGAGGAGGCGTGGGATGGAGAGGTTCCTGCCCCAGGCTGTGGGCCCGGGACAGAACGGGGAGCCTCAGGAGGCACTAAGTTCCTCTGGCCATGGTAGAGCCTGGGCATTCCACACCCCTAGGCTCTGGCCTGGCTCGGGAGGGCCGTATTTCGCCCATCGGAAGAGGTCTCTGGCTATGGGAGTCAGGTGGAGGTGTGAGGTCCCAAATGGGGAGGAGGAAGGGTGCCTGGAGACCGCAGAGACGGTCACACATCCTTCTTTTCCCCCAGAGCTGGGTGTTCTGCACCTGCTCTCTTCATTCAAAATGCTGGGGCGATGCCCAGTGCCTCCAGACCAGACCTGATTGAGGCCCGGGAGGGCGGAGGGACAGAAAGGCGGTAGGGGAGACTGGGAGGCAGGGACAAAGCTGTCCAGGAAGCACAGGACACCTGCCCCCACACATTCTCTTGTCTCGGACTCTAGGGGTTAATTTTCTGGAAGTCACAGAAAAAAAAGGCGAGTGACTCCAAGGCATGGCAGCGCAGTCACAGGTCAGAGTTCTCATCCAGGGCCACCACTTAGCAGCGGAGGAGGAAGTAAGCAAAAACTTAACTTTGCTGTGCGTCAGTTTTGGTTTCCTGACTGTTACATCACGAGGATGAGAGAACTGGGGCACCCACCCCACCGCAAGGCTGGAGCCAGAATTCAGCGGGATGACACTTAGCAAAGCGTTCAGGCCAGCGACTAAGCCACAAGCCACCAGTAACGCTACTGTGGACCTGACACGGGGTCACGGTTCCTTGCCAACAGCACTCTGGCGTCCCCAACGGTGTGGCTATTCACCTCGGGGCTCCCCCTGTCCACAAGACCGCTGGCCATACAGTCAACCTTGCAGCCAGCCTTGCACGGTTCCCAGGCAAGGTGGGGGATCCCAGACACGCCCAGCCCACCTCCGCCCCACGTGTGTGTCTGATACTTCCTGTCCCTGCAACCACAGCCAGGTTCATCCAAGGGCAACCTCCGCCTCGGAATGGCTCTCCCTGGCTGGCTGATGCCTACGGGGCAGCCAGGAGCAGCTGGCAATGTTTTCAGGAGCTCCCTGGGTGTCAAACATAGAGAATACCTAGTGCGACCTCACCAGCTGCTTCTGAGAAGTCACCCAGCATGTGCTGCTAACATTTCAACCACAGCCAGCATCGGTGTTGGCTGATGCCTGTGTGAAAATAGGATTGGAACAGGCTTGTGGGGCAGCACACCAGAGACCCTGTCAGGGGCGCGCTGAGTTCTCTTCCAGGATCCTGGGTTCTTTTGAGGTTCTGACATGTGGGCAGCTAAATGGTAAACACGGGACTGAAGGCATACCCGGTGAATTACAGCACACATCTCCCTCCTTTTGGACCATTACAGCTCTTGGGCAGAGATCAACCCCAGAATCATGCTGATGTCTGTAATTAATCAATCTGGGGGCACAAGGGTATGACACCCCCACTCGCGCTCTCCCCAGCCAGAGAGGAGGTGAGGATAAGCCAAAGGATGTTTGATGAACTGCATGGGGGATACGGCAATCCAGTTACGTATTTAACAGAATGGTGAAAAAATGAGCCTATGCAGGGATGCCTGGGTGATTCAGTCGGTTAAGCGTCTGCCTTTGGCTCAGGTCATGATCCCAGGGTCCCAGGATCGAGTCCTACATCGGGCTCCCTGCTCAGTGAAGAGCCTTCTTCTCCCTCTGCCTGCAGCTCCCTCTGCTTGTGCACTCTCGCTCTCTCTCGCTCTCTCTGACAAATAAATATAATAAAATATTTCCCCAAAAATGAGTCTATCCAGAGACAAGCTAAAAGTTGTGTGAAATGCTCAAAACTAGCAACAAAAACAAAAAAACAAAAACCAAGGTACAAATAGGATGGACGGGTGATTCCAAGAGCAGGAATCATGCATAAGGAGGTAACTTGAATCAAGTGTGAATTTCAGCCCAACCTGCAGAAGGGGTCAGAGGACGGGGAAGAGAGTGTCTTGCATGGCTCATGCTTCCAACTCTTTAGGTCAATGACCCCACCAAATGGGGATAGGGACAGTGGATTCACCAGGTGCCCTCCAGCCTTAAGGGTTGTGGGGCATCCCTTGAGGACATCACGCGGGGAAGGTGGGAGGACCCAGGTCGGGGCGGTGCGCCTCCAGAGCCGGACCGTCCCCTCTTTGGGACCCCTATGCCGCCCTCGCCCCCACCCCAGCGTGCTCACCGGTTCGCCGCCTTGGCCGCGCCTCCTCCGGCAGCTCGGGAGGAAGACGCAGAGCGCCACCTCCGGCAGCAGCACCCGCCCCAGAGCCGCGGCCCCGCCAGGCCTCTGCCCAGCGCCCTCCAGCGGATGGCCCGAGAAACTGCGTTCCCGTGGAGAAGCCGCTAGAGCAGGGGGGTCACAGGTCACAAAAACCCGCAGGGTGTGGTGGTGTTCATGAGAAAAAGCGCGCGGGGAGAGTCGTCCCGGGGTTGAGACGTTTTAGAAGCGTGTTTCAGTCCTGCACTAACAGAGGCAAAGGAAGGCAACACGGGGTTTGGCAGAGGATGGCTGTCCCCCAGTATCTGCTCCCTTTCCTCCCTCAGTATTAGAACAGCCAAATTTTAGGTGAGTACACAGTCTTCCAGAACAAAAACTACATCTCTGAACCTCGGGCATAGCCAGCTATGACCTCAGTATTAAATTCTGGCCAAAGCAATATAAACCAAAGTGCTGTATGATTTCCAAGAAATGTCCTTAAAGGGAGAAGTGATTTTTGGGGGGCGCCTGGGTGGCTCAGTGGGTTAAAACCTCTGCCTTCGGCTCAGGTCATGATTCCAGGGTACTGGGATCGAGCCCCACTTTGGGCTTTCTGCTCTGCGAGGAGCCTGCTTCTTCCTCTCTCTCTCTCTCTCTCTCTCTCTCTCTGCCTGCCTTTCTGCCTACTTGCGATCTCTGTCAAATAAATAAATAAAATCTAAAAAAAAATTGTTTAACCCTTAAAAATTAAAAAAGAAAAAGGGAAAAGTGATCTTCATCAGTCCTTCCTCCTGCTGGCTGGCTGGAATGCAGATGTGATGACCGATGCACAAGCAGCCATATTACCCCATGTGGTGGAAGCTACATGCTGAGGATGGTTAAGTAACAAAATTCTGTGCAAAGGAACCTGGTCCCTGACGCTAAGGGTGCTCTGTCCATCTTGTGTGGTCTACTCCTGGGTCTCTTTTATGTAAGTGAGAAATATATTTCCATTATATTTCATTCACACCATTATTGTTTGGTTTTCTGTCTCACATAACTGAACTGAATCCTAACCAATAAACAGAGGAGATAAAAATCCTCTTTGTTGGCAGAAGTGGGGCAAGGATGTGCTAGAAGTAGTGGTCCCTTGTGTTAACAAAAGTTAGGGAGAAGCTCAAGGTAAAAAGAGGACTGTTACTGAAATTTCTAACCATTTCTAAGAACAGGCTCAAATCCTTGACTGTCTCCCTTTGTGGCCGGAGCAGGTCCCTGTTAGTTCTTCTACCTGCTGGCTGCCCACAGCAACTTCTTCTGATCCACACACTTTCAAGAGGTCAGTTTAGACTGAATGTGGGGATACTAGTCCAGCATAGCTCAGACTACCCTCTTGAGACTGCCCTAATGACTCGCTAAAACTGCAGAGTTCAAGGACTCCACCGAACACCGGCGGGATCAGTCCCTCTAGTGATCCTATGTATTCTGACATACACTCAAGTCTGATCCACCATTTTACTCATAGGGAAACTGAGGCCCAGGAAAGGAGTGGAACTCTCCAGAAGTCTCTCTGACAGCAGAGCACTGGGCAAGAACCCAATAATCAGCACCACCAGTCCAAGGTTTACTCCAATCCCCTGTGAATCCTCCGTCCTGGCCCTCTCAGGTGGTCCCTCGTTATTCAAAGATTGCCTGAGATCCAACACAATCTGCACGGTCTCCTCCATTCTCACAATCCTGAGACAAACAGCAGGCTGAGGGATATCCCTGTGTCCCCTGAGCGCATCTCTCCAATTTGCTTGCACTGCAGAGCTCTGGCCGTACCTGCTAAGCAGGAACAGACCTCAAATACCCTGGGCCTCCATGCAGACTTGCAGATTCAGCTGACTGGCCATTCAGCTGACCCCTCCCTGAGCCAGGGCCTGGGGGAGCACATCAGGGGTTCTCCAGGAGCACAACACGCTCCTGGGATCCCAACCTACCCTCTACCAGACCTGCCACAGGCCCTCCCTCTCCTCTCCCTGTGCCGCCATGCCCTGCCCTCCCCATGCGTGGGGGATGGCAATGATGGTGTTGACATAAATGGCTGCTTTTGTCTCTTCCTGCCCCAGATTCTCAAGCATCCTCGGATGCCACTTTCCCCTCCTTCTCCTGCTGGCTGAACTTCCATAGCCCACCCCTGTCCCTGGAAAGAATAAAGCTCTGACTTCACAATACTGCTTTGCCCTTACCTCCCAAGGATATCCCTCAGGTACTAACTAACCCGAGGATGCCATGCCCAAGCAGGCAGGAACTGCCTTTGTCCTTGCTTTCAACTCCAGCCCCAGCAGACACATTGGCACACCATTTCCCTTTGGCAAAATCCATTTACTCCCACCCAGCTGAACACAGGGTCTTTTCCCCTGGGAAATTCCAGCCCGTCCTGGGTGCCCTGTCCTTGACTCAAAGGCAGATCCAGTGTGAACTCAGCATTGATCCCTCCAAGGAGGAGCTGGGCCACCTCCTATAACATACCTTTCACCTTCTAAGCCATGTATGGGATTACTGGTTGATAACTATCTGGGCTATAAGCCGTCCCTGTCCTCCCTAGGAGCTCATGATTTAAAAAATCAGGTGAGGCAACCGCGTGGTACAGCGCGTTTTGGAAAGTGACAAGGAGACAAGCCCCCATCACTATCAGGGCCTTTTGCGGGCCCCAAATCCCTACTGCCTCAGGCGTGCAGCAGGCCTCTGGGGCTTCATCACAGTTTGTTTTCACCGTTCTAATAATTCATAATGACCACGCTCTGAAACCTGCCCCAGGTCCTTCTCTCCCGCAGCAACAGCGACTGCCCATTTTTCTGTCCCCTACCCAAACCCACAGCCCGCATGCCTGCTCTTGAGGGAGTGGAACTGCGGAAGTGATCTGATCAGTGGGGAGCTCTCAACTAGCGGGGCCAGGACGCTGAAAGGCGGATGCAGGGAACCTCAGTGTCCACGCGGGGCATGTGGAGTGCCTGAAGAGCGAAGGGTGGACAGCGGAAACAGTGGGAACAGACCGTGCCAGGTTAATCTCCGCACGCCCGGCTCCATCCCAGGCTCCGAGGCCCGAAGCGGCTCCCTTCCGCGCCACCTGGCGGCCATCGCGCGCGAACGGACAGCGGACCCAGCGCGGGTTCCCGGGCCTGCGGGGTCGGTTCCCGCCGGACGGACGGGCTTGAGGGAGGGGGCGCCCAGCTTGGAGAGCCGGGACCGCGCGGCCCGGGGCGGGGAACGTCTCTGGGTTCGCGCGGACCCCACGACCCCCGCCAGGCCCTGAGAAGACCCGGGGACGCCGGCCCCTAGCTGCCGCAGAAAGGCAGTCGCGGGCCGGAGCGCTGCGGGACGCTGGGCGCCCGAGTCAACGTGCGCGCACCCGCGCGCCACACGCAGCATCCCGCACCAGCGCGCGCGCGCACGCACGCCCCGACGCTTGCCCGCGCCGGCCGGTCTCCCACGCAGCGGGTGGTGGGCACCGGAGCCCAGTGCTGGGGAGTGGGAGGCCTTTCCGAGGGGCGCACTCCGGCGGGCACACCGCTGCACGCTTTTTCCACTCTCACCTCGGGAGTGGGGACGCCGCCGCGGCCGCACTGTTCCCATGGGTGACCCCCTGGAGGGCGGGTCGTGGGGTCCGTGCGGCCCAGGCCCTTCCGAGCAGGCTGGGGGCTCCCGGGCCAGGCCGCTCCCACCTGCCGGCCGTGGCGGCCAATGAGAGCCTGGTCTGGTGATGTCATGCCCCGACCGGACCCTGGTGACGAAAGTCCCAGGTCACCCGTCAGGGAACCAGAGCAAACCCACCCGCGGGGGTTCCGGAAGTTTCCACTGCGGCAGCAGAGTGCGGCCTCGCCCCACAGCCTCGCGCGTGCCACTACGTTTTGCCTTCCGGGGTGTCCCCGAGTCACCTCTCCCTTGCCCCGGGGGTCTTCTTCCGTGGGGCCCCCCTTCATTTCCACTCGTGGTCTCATGTTCCCATCTTCATTCCCACAGGTGTGCCCTCATCCCCCAGGAATGTCCCACGTCACCTTTTCTCCGCCAGTACCACCCCGGACCCCTAAGGGGGATCCTCAGCCACACTTTCACGTGCGGGTCCTCCCATGCCACCCCAGTTGTGTCGTGGCCAAGGAGGTTCATTTATTCGGCTCCCAGTCCCGACCGAGGCTGTCAGTGTGTCCGAGTGTGTGTCCGTCCGTCTGTGACTGTCGGTCTCTGTTTGTCTGGAGCTGTCACTGCCTGCGACTGTCCGTCTACGTGTCTGTCTCCGCGGCTTCTGTCCGTCTGTCACTGTGGGTGTCTGCTCCGGCGCTGCAGGTCTTTCCGTCGTGTCACTATGTGTCTGTCCGTCTGTCGGCATCTGTCACTGGAGTCCGTCCGGGCCCCCGGGGTCTCTGGGTCTCGCCTCCGAGGGAGGGAGAGGGAGGGGAGGTGGCAGCCCGGGAAGGCGGGGAGGGGCGGGGGCGGAGACAGTGGGCGGGGGCGGGGGCGGGCGGGGGCGCCGTGCGGCCCGGAGGGGGTGTGTGCGGGGGGGCCGGAGGCGGCGGCTGTCAGAGTCGGCTCAGCCAGCGCCGGGGAACATCGGCCGCCTCCAGCTCCCGGCGCGGCCCGGCCCGGCCCGGCTCGGCCGCCTCAGGTGAGTCTCCCGCCCCGGCCGGGACCCTCCCCCGGCCCGCGGCCCGTTCCGCGTCCGGGAAAATGTGCGCTCCCGGAGGGATCCGGGCCCCCCAAACGGGACGCCCACCGCGCCCCCGGGCCTGCCCAGCGACGCCCCCCGCCGCCCCACACTCATCCTTAACTCTTCCCTCGCCGCCGCATACTTACGGTCGTCCGCGCGGGAGCCGGCACCCCGGAGGGCCGGCCGCCGCCTCTGCTCTCGAATTCCTGGGGGGACCCCCGAGCGCCCCTTCCCCCGCCCGCCCCCAAGTGTAGGGCCACTGGAAGACGCCCCCTCCTTGGGGCGGAACCCGAGCTGCGCATGTTGCTGGCGCCGGGCTGACTACCCCCCCCCACCCAGATCCCGCAACCCCAGCGCCCCTGCGCAGCGCTCAGCCGAAGCCCCCTCCGAGGCCCAGGCGTCCCCCTCCCACGGGGACTCCGTCTCTATTTGGGGAAAGGGGAGGCTCAGCGGAAGCCCCGAGTTATAATTAGCCCCACTCGGGTTTCCTAGTTAATCCCCAGCACCACCACCACCACCCCAGCCTCAGGGCGGCGGGGGTTGGCTGGGTGAGAGGTGACCGCCGGGAGAGGGGGGAGTTCCGACCCGGGGAATTTTGATCCCTTGGCTGGAGATGCCGGAACCACAGCAGCTGCTGCCCCAAAATAGCGCCCTCGCCCCTGCAGCCGGGGATCTCCGGAGCTTCGAGAACACAGGCCTCCCGGTTCGCCCTTCAGACCCCTCCGCAATGCCCGCGAGCCTCCAGACCCCCGCCCCGAGTTCCCGGCTCTCGGACTCGGGGCGGGGAGCGCCGTCCTTTTCTCGGTCTCTACTGCCCCCCACTGGCGGCAGCGTGCCCCGCAGCATCGGATGCATGGGGGACTCCAGTCCTGGGGGACCCGGGCTGGCGAGCCTGATCTCTGAGGCTAGGCGAGGCGAGTGCGCAGCTGACCGGCACCCACGGGTACCAGCGCCCCGTGCCAGACAGTGGATGAGGAGGGGCAGGGCAGGGTGGGACAGGGTGTGGAGTAAGCAGGATTTGGGGTACCACGAGACCTGTAGCTCCCACAGCCTTGAATGCCCAACCCAGCCCCCAGGGCTACCCCCCCCCCCCCCCCCCCCCCCGACCCTGGCCAACTCAAGAGAGCCTGCGTCTTCACGCCGCCACCACCACCACCACCACCACCACCACCACCGCAAGCCTCCCCATCAGCGCCTCCAGTCAGTGAGGGCCCCGCCCCTGTCTGGTGGCCTGTGTGTGGATTGCGGCCTCTGGTGCGGGTGTCTGCGCTGCTCCGGCTGGGCCCAACGCAGTCCACCCAGCTAGGGGAAGGAGGTGAGGGTGGTGGGCGCTCAGTGGGGCAAGAGAAGGGATAGCCTGGCAGGCCTCATCTCTGTTGCCTCCGTTGGTCTGTCTGGGTGTCATGTGTGTGCCCGATCTCTGTCCCCTCTTGGCTTCTCTCTGTCTGCCTGTGTCCTTGCCTTGGCCTGACTCCCTCCCTCCGTTTCTCTCCACTCTCCCAACCTGCCCCACCTCCTCTGCAGCCCCACGATAACCCCTGGGCAAGAGTGTTACCTAATCTCCTCGCTCCTGGCAGCCTCAGACCTTCACCCTCTGCCTTTCTGTCTCCCAGCAGACGCCTGCCTGGCCTGGCAGCCATGAGGCCCCCCTGGTGTCCCCTGCACACGCCCTCCCTGGCTTCCCCAATCCTGCTCTTCCTCCTCTTCCTCCTGGGAGGAAGGGCAGAGGCTGAGGACCCGGAGCTGCTGGTGACTGTGCGTGGGGGCCGGCTGCGGGGCATCCGCCTAATGGCCCCTGGGGGCCCTGTCTCCGCTTTTCTGGGCATCCCCTTCGCAGAGCCACCTGTGGGCCCCCGTCGCTTTCTGCCACCGGAGCCCAAGAGGCCCTGGCCGGGGGTGCTGGACGCCACAGCCTTCCAAAGTGTCTGCTACCAATATGTGGACACCTTGTACCCCGGCTTCGAGGGCACCGAGATGTGGAACCCGAACCGTGAGCTGAGTGAGGACTGCCTCTACCTCAATGTGTGGACACCATACCCCCGGCCTGCGTCCCCCACCCCTGTCCTCGTCTGGATCTACGGGGGTGGCTTCTACAGTGGGGCCTCCTCCCTGGACGTGTATGACGGCCGCTTCCTGGCCCAGGCTGAGGGAACCGTGCTGGTGTCCATGAACTACCGGGTGGGAGCCTTTGGCTTCTTGGCCCTGCCAGGGAGCCGGGAGGCCCCAGGCAACGTGGGTCTGCTGGATCAGAGGCTGGCATTGCAGTGGGTGCAAGAGAACGTGGCCGCCTTCGGGGGCGACCCAACGTCAGTGACTCTGTTTGGGGAAAGCGCCGGTGCTGCCTCGGTGGGCATGCACTTGCTGTCCCCTCCCAGCCGGGGCCTTTTCCACAGGGCTGTGCTGCAGAGCGGTGCACCCAATGGCCCCTGGGCCACGGTGGGCGTGGGAGAGGCCCGCCGCAGGGCCACACTGCTGGCCCGCCTCGTAGGCTGTCCCCCAGGAGGTGCCGGTGGCAATGACACAGAACTGGTTGCCTGCCTGAGGACAAGGCCCGCTCAGGACCTGGTAGACCACGAGTGGCACGTGCTGCCTCAGGAAAGTGTCTTCCGCTTCTCTTTCGTGCCTGTGGTGGATGGAGACTTCCTCAGTGACACACCCGAGGCCCTCATCAACGCTGGAGACTTCCACGGTCTGCAGGTGACTAGTGGCTGGAAGGGTTGGAGCTGGTTCCTCCAGGCCTGTTCTCCCACCCACCCCCAGACCCCAGACCCCTGGGGACCCAGGCATGAAGGCTCCTCAAGATCCAATTCCCAAAGGCCTGGGCTTCTGGCCCCATGGCCACCCCTTCCTCCCTGAGAGCTCAGATCCTGGGGTGGTCAGTGGGGCAGAGAGAAAAGGAAACATGGGTACATTTTCTCTTTCTCTCTGTCCCTTCCCCAACCTCCTACTCTTTTCCTCCATGGTTCTGGGGTCTATAACTATTGATCTCTCTGGCTCTTTGTCCATCTGTTTCTGTCTGCCTGTCTGTCTGTGCCCCCCCCCATCCCTCCATCCTGTCCCCTCAGGTGCTGGTGGGTGTGGTGAAGGATGAGGGCTCCTATTTTCTGGTTTACGGGGCCCCAGGCTTCAGCAAAGACAACGAATCTCTCATCAGCCGGGCCCAGTTCCTGGCCGGGGTGCGGGTCGGGGTCCCCCAGGCGAGTGACCTAGCTGCCGAGGCTGTGGCCCTGCATTACACAGACTGGCTGCACCCTGAGGACCCAGCGCGCCTGAGAGAGGCCATGAGTGATGTCGTGGGAGACCATAACGTCGTGTGCCCCGTGGCCCAGCTGGCTGGGCGACTGGCTGCCCAGGGGGCTCGGGTCTATGCCTACATCTTTGAACACCGCGCATCTACGCTCTCCTGGCCCCTGTGGATGGGGGTGCCCCATGGCTACGAGATCGAGTTCATCTTTGGACTCCCTCTGGAACCCTCGCTAAACTATACGGCCGAGGAGAGAACCTTTGCCCAGCGACTGATGAGATACTGGGCCAACTTCGCCCGCACAGGGTCAGCAGTACTGAGGGGAGGAGGGCCCCCAGGAGCCAGAGAAGCAAGAGGAGGGGACAGGGAGAGAGGAGGACAGACTGGGACAGACCGAAAGGGCCGGAGAGGGAGGGAAAAGTTCACAAAAGAAAGGAGACAAAGAGGGAGACAGAATGACAAAGGAGACTGGAGAGGAAAGGATGGCAGGTCCAGTAGAGCCCAGGAGAGGTGGGGGAGGGAAGCGTAGAGAAGAGAGACAGGGAGACAAAGAAGTTACTGTAGTACTTAGGAGCTAGAACGGTAGAGCTGGGTTCAGGTGGGCCAGCGATACATTCACATGTATGTGCAGTAGCATTTGACTGCACATGTATATGTAGTCACACACCGGTTTACCTGTCCGAAGAAGAGGACCACAATTCCGACATCACATGGGTGTTGTCAAAAGCAAAAACAAGATGTTTGTAGAGCTAGGACTGAGCCTGCTTACACAGTAAGGGCTCATAAATCCTAGCGATGTTTTAAATGGGATAAACAAAGACAAAGGTGGGGCAGTAAAGCTGAAGGAAAGGCAGAAAGAGGGAGGGCAGGAGGAAAGGGATGGCTCCAGCTGATGGGGGATCCGGGAGACCAGAAAGAAGGGTTAAAGAGGTGGTGGGAAGGGGATGTGTTCTCCAGGGAGCCAAAGGGGGCTCGGGTCGGGGGGGCGGGGGGGGGGGGGGGGGGGGGGGGGGAGGCAGCCTGCCTCCTCCTGCTCTCCATCGCCAGTCCACGGTCCCTAGGGCGGGCGGGGCAGGCTTGCCTGAGGCTGAGCCTCCCCTTTCCTTCCGAAGGGACCCCAATGACCCCCGGGACCCCAAAGTCCCTCAGTGGCCACCGTACACGGCGGGAGCGCAGCAGTACGTGAGCCTGAACCTGCGGCCGCTGGAGGTGCGCCGGGGGCTGCGCGCCCAGGCCTGCGCCTTCTGGAACCGCTTCCTCCCCAAATTGCTCAGCGCCACCGGTATGCAGGGGCCAGCGGGCAGGGGCTGGGCGGAGGAGGGCAAAAAAGGGGAGCGAAAAGAGAGAGGGGAGTGGGAGCCGGCCGGGTGTAACCCCTCTCTTCTCCCCCCACCAGCCTCGAAGGCTCCCAGCACCTGCTCAGGCCCCGCCCACGGGGAGGCTGCCCCGAGGCCCAGGCCCGGCCTTCCCTTGCCCCTCCTTCTCCTCCTCTTCCTCCACCTCTCCCGGCTCCTGCGGTTGTGACCACGGCCACTTACCCCTCCGGCCTCAGGGGACCCCTCCTCTAATGAGTGGTCGGACAGTGGGGAAGGGCCCCACTCAGGGATCCCCGACCCAGTGCACCCTCCCTCCTCAACCCGAGAGACTCAAACCGGCCAGGGCTGGGAGGGGGTGGTGACCTATGACCCGTCTCAGGGACCCACACGCCTTTGTTGTCTAAATGGAAATGAAAACGCCAATTTTATTTTTTTACAAAATTTTTTGGAGCCGGAGCCTGGTGTCGGGGGCAGAGGGCGGGCCCGGGAGCTAGACAGCACCCCCTAGTGGGGCTATAACAGTCAACCATTTCTGTCTCTTCTCTTTTCCCCACCAACCTACGGATCCTCCCCTCTTCTGATCCTTTCTGTCCCACTGTCTTCCGGTCATTTTCTCCTCCCCCACCCCTTCCTTCCCGCCATCCTGCTCTGGCCCGTCCTCCACTCCCATCCGTCCTCTGGTCTTGTCTTTCGCATATTCTCCTGATCCTATTTCCACTGTCCTGCGTGCCCCCCTGCATTCTCCTTGTATTCTGCACTCACGCCCCCCCCACCACCATGTACGTTCCCTGACCTTCCCCTTGCCCTCCTCCAACCCACTTGCCGGGCGCCCTGGCCGCAGACACACTGGACGAGGCGGAGCGCCAGTGGAAGGCCGAGTTCCACCGCTGGAGCTCCTACATGGTGCACTGGAAGAACCAGTTTGACCATTACAGCAAGCAGGATCGCTGCTCAGACCTGTGACCCAGACGGGACCCCCACGTCTCCCCGCCCAGCTCGCCCCGTCCGGCCCACTAGCTGTATATACTTATTTAAGGGCTGGGTTATAATACGGAGGAGCCCTAGACCCTACCTCCCCACCCCGAGTATCCCCGGAGGCTCCCCGTCCTCTGCATGTCTCGGGCCGAGCCCCTCCCCCGCGGTGCCTTCGCCCCTCTGGGCTGCCAATAAACTGTTACAGCCACAGCAGTGTGCGCGACTAGGAGCGGGGACCGGGCCTCAAACACCAGGGCTGAGTAGACAGAGCGGGGCGGGTGTGACAGCCACCCGAACTTGCAGACCTCTGTAGCCGGGCGGAGCGTGCCGGCTCCCACCACGCTACCCCGCTGCGCCCACCGCCCCGCGCCCCGCCTCAGAAGGCGGGGCTCTCGCCTGCGCAGTAGCGACGGCTGCGCGGCGGTGCATTGTGGGAGCCCTGCGGCTGGCGCTTTACCCGCGACTGCGGCTCGGGACTCTGCGCTGCGGGAGACCGGCGAGAACGTCCCCGAGAGCCCGCACGCCGGTCCTGCCTGCGGCTAGCTCAAGACCCAGGTCCAAGAGGAAGCGCTGGAGCCGGAGTTCTGTCCGCACCGCCAGGACGCGTCTACCCGACCTCGGCCCCCGCCGCCCGCCCTGGAGCCGCTGAAAGACGTCCACCTGGGCCTGGCCCCGCCCACCCGCGGCCCCGCTCGCCTGGCCCTCCTCTCGGGCCACTACCTTTACTATCACTACGGCTGCGACGGTCTGGACGACCGGGGCTGGGGCTGCGGCTATCGCACTCTGCAGACGCTGTGCTCGTGGCCAGAGGGCCGGCCCGCGGGCGTGCCCGGACTGACCGCCGTGCAGGCGGCTCTGGAGGACATGGGTGACAAGCCCCCCGGGTTCCGGGGCTCCCGGAGCTGGATTGGTTGTGTAGAAGCCAGCCTCTGCCTCGACCACTTCGGAGGACCCCAGGGGCGCCTGTGCCACGTACCCCGTGGAGCAGGTCTTCAGGGGGAACTGGAGAGGCTTTACTCCCACTTCGCTGGGGGCGGGGGGCCTGTAATGGTTGGGGGGGATGCAGATGCCCAGTCCAAGGCCTTACTGGGAGTCTGCCTGGGTCCAGGCACAGAAGCCTATGTTCTGGTATTGGACCCTCACTTCTGGGGTGCTCCGAAAAATCCCAGTGAACTACAGGCAGCTGGGTGGGTAGGATGGAGAGAGGTAGGCACAGCCTTTGACAGCAACTCCTTCTACAACCTGTGTTTCACCAGCTGCAACTCCCAGAAGCAGCAGCATGCCCTGGACTGAGGCTTAGGTCCCAGAATGGAAACTATCTCTGGACCCAAACATACCTAAATAAACCCTTTACTCCAAGGCAAAAGCTGCCTGGGTCTTTGGAGTCAATAAAATGGTGCAGCTCAGCTAATTATGGCCCCAGCCAATCTTTGGGAGAATTTGGGGAGGTACATAATAAATAATCAATCACTATGGAAGTGCTTTTATTGGCAGTAGGGCTGAACGTACAAAAAAAATTCTCAGCTGGATAGGACCAGGCAGTCACAATTCTAGACGAGGCCAGGAGTGAGGAGAAGTGGAGGGCTCAGAAGAAGTCCACATCATCTGGAGCGTCCAGGTCACGGTATTCCACAATGGCCCGTGGGTCTCCTCGGACCATCCTGTGAGATATGGAAGAGGTAAGGTGGGAGGACAGTTGAGGGTCCCTGAAAGGGAGCTTGAAGAGGGCAAGAAAGCTTGGACATCTTAGCTCATTCTCACCTGTTCCGAGGCTTCCCGGGATAACCTCCTTGGCCTCGGAAGGCATCATAGTTCCCTCGGCCAGCACCATAGGGGGCATGAGGGTATGGAGGCCCTCCCGTGGGGACCGCAGGGCGGACAGCACCAGCTACACAAGAGATTGGGATTGAGTTGAAAATCTGTAACCTCAACTATACCTTGGTTTAGCTTCCTTTCTCCCAGCCCCTCACAGCCACTAAGCCCTTTCAAGTCTCCCCCATACTTACCTCCATAGCCCAAGATGGGGGGCCGGGGCTGACCATAGGGCATCAGGCCCTGGGGAGTCTGGTGTGGGTAGGGGAGTCCCGGCGTCAGGCCTGGGGGGAGTACAACATGGACAGGAACATGAATTACTGCGGGAGGGCTGGGGGGGGTGGGGGGAATGACCACTGGCTTTTAGGAATACTGCCCGAGTGGAAAAGAATGTTTTCAGAGGATCATAGGATAAAGAGAACCAGGAGTCCTTGATAGTCAAGGGAGTGGGAATGTGGCAGACCCTCATGGATCGTATCTTACTCTGGGCAGGGCCAGGTGGCTGAGCTGGCTTGATCTCCGGCAGAGCCGGGCGCTTGGCATCAGTGAGAAAGTTGTTAAAAAACGCAACCTCCTTCTTCACTTCCTCAATCTTCTCTGCATGCTTGTTGAAGATATGTTTGCGTACAAACTCAGGGCCCTGGGTAAAGAGAGAGAGGATCAGAACAGAGCAAGCAATGTGGAAGGATAATCGACTTCCCCGCCCACCAGTTCCAGAGCCAATTCCTCCCCAGGCCAGAGGCGGCTTCCTGACTCAACCCCTTCCGCCCACAGTTCTAACACAGCTCCCTACCATCCCAGACCTTGAATTTCTTGCCACTGAGAGGGCATAGCCACTTATCCTTGCCCAGTTCCTGGGTGTTAGAGGTGACAAACTTCTCCACTTCCTGCTCGGGGTCTTTGCGCCCCATCTTCTGAGCCTCTTCCTCGGAAAGAGATTCCCGCACACTCAGCAGTGGAGTCAGCTTCTCCTCAAATGTCTTCTGCCACTCTAGCACTGTGGTTTGGGAACAGGGACAACAGCGAGCTGGAGAAGGGAGCCAGAAGCAAGGAAGGGACGAGGGGCGCCTGGCTGGCTCAGGGCATGTGACTCTTGATCTCAGGGGTCCTGAGTCTGAGCCCCACGTTGGACAGAAAGATTATTTTTAAATATTTAAAGAGGGGGAAAAAAAATGAGAGGCTGGGAAGGCACTGCTCCCAGAACACATCTACGACCAGAGGCAGCTGAGAAAGGGAAACCAAAGGGGACTTGGGAGTGGCTGGGAGCCCACCTTCTCCGTGACTGATGCGGTTGGGAGGCATGGGCCCCCGGACATGGACGATGCCACAGCGGTTGGGCATCTCATCCTCATTGGGGTACTCGCAAGTGTTATAATAATCCAGGGAATGCACAATGCGCAAATAGAGAAGGAGTTTGTCCAAAACCTGAGAGAAATCAAAACCTGTGAGTTCACCATGCTCTCCTGGGCCCTCTGCTGCCCCAAGCCAGGAAGGACCCTTGCCCGCCTGCTCTTGCTGGCACCTTGATCAGTTTTTCATCCCGCTCCACGTTGATCTCTGCCGGGTTCCCTTCCTTAGGGGGCTCCTCAGGGGGAGCCCCCCCACTGCTCCCCAGCAGCTCCTCCTCCTCCGCACTCACTTCCTCAATCAGATAGTCAGTGATGTTCTTCAAGATTGGGTTCTGGGAGGGCAGGCTCTGGGAAGGAGGAAGAACAAGGGAAAGTGAGATGACAAGAGAAAACTCTGAGGCAGACATATAGTCCCAGCAGCTCCTCATCTGAAGCAGAAAGGAATCCAGGGTTCCCCTGGCCTGTTACCACTGCTTTGTTATTTGTCTTTTTCTTACTTATTCTCTCTTAACCAATACATCATCACTATGCCAGTCTGTTCTAGTGGAAGCTGGACGTGCTGCCCAGATAGGCTGAGAACAGGGGATTAACACTACAGACAAGACCAGAGGTGCCCACAGCAGAAGACATGGTATGGGCTGCTTCCGGAGAAGTTTCACGGGGAGTCACTGACTGTTGGCAGAGGAGGTGTCCCAGGCTCGGAGGCCCAGAGCTGGGTCCTGTCATCCAGCGTATGGATCAGCTTTGCAGCCAGCTTGATGTCGTTGCGCACTATCTGCTTGTGCTGGGTAATGCCGTTGATGTTGCGGACTCGACGAGTCAGGTCTCTGTTCACACCCGGGCTCAGCTCACACTCCCGGAGCTAGAGGGAGCCAACACAAAGCTCACCAACACTTGCCCAGGAAGCAGCAGCTCCAGGAACTGGCCCTATTGACAGGACCAGCGACTGGACCGAGAGTTCCCCGAGAACAGGGACCAGGAGCGTCTTAGCGTCTTACTCACAGATACCAGTACATGCTTAATGTGAGCAGACTGGACCGTCAAGGGGGCAGAATGAATGAATCAAAGAACAAAGGAATCAGAGGTTGTGTGCAGCACAGAGAGCCCATTCCCAGCACTTACTCGGATATTCTGCAGGTTCCAACAGATCTCTTTGATGTTAACACTGCGGTCAAAGGTCACCCAGCCACGACGGAAAAACCTGCAGGAGAAAAGGTCAGCATAACCCTGGGGTGGAAGGGATCCTGGCCATCAGCCTCCCCTTGTGCCATATTCTCCAGGATATCCAGGGTCACTCTCCTCCCCATTCCTTACCTCCTCTCAGGCTGGGGCTCTGACAGTGCCACACGCATAAAGCCTGGGTATCTTTTACAAAGCTGGAAAAACAGAGGAACAGAAACCCCACTGAGTGATTCAACGTTTCACTTCTTCCTCCAATCCCCCTGTCCTCAGAACCCTGGGACTGCCTTTGACTCTTTACTCAGGTTAGGAAACACCAATAAAGGGCTTAAGAGTAAGGGCACTTAAAGGCAAATGGTGCGATCGGGGCCAGCCCACAAAAGGCATGGGCCCATGAGAAGGAGCTTCCCTGTTGGAGAAACAGGGGTATACATCAGAAGTAGAGTCACATTATCTTCTCCCCGCTTCACCAGCTCCCCATCCCTGCCACCAAAGATGGAGCCCGGGTGCCATTACTGCCCCCATGACCGCTCTTCCCCACTTCCCCACTCACAGAAATGATCTCTGCCCGCGAGATGTTGGGTGCAATGTTGCGCATGAAGAGGGAGCAAGTCTTATGGAGGGGCCGAGGTTTACATTCCAGCCCAGGAGTGTCCTTAGGCTTCTCCCTTTCTTCTTCTTTGGGCTTCTCCTTTTCCTTGAGTGCCTCTTCTGGGCAGAAAGTGGCGGCAATTGGTGATTTTTTTATTGTTGATTTTTGAGGGGAAGACAGAGAAACAGTCACACTCCCACCTCCACACCCTCATCTCCCAAAAGGGCCGCCCCTGATCAATTTCACCCACTCCCACCTCCCCTACCCCTATTCAGTAGGAAGAGAATGGACTAGAAGCAGAAAATAAAACCCACCAGCCTCCTCCTTCTCTTCCTCAGCTTGGCCACTCTCCGACTCCGACTCCGACTCGGACACACTGCCTTCATCAAAGCTGTCATCACCGCTGTGCTTCCTGTTCCTCTTCTTGCTACTCTGTAAGCCACGGCAGGAGGGAGGGAGTCAGGTAACCAGGCCCCTGGGCCCGACACCGATCCCGTGGCAAGAGATACCCTACCTTTTTGGCATCTTTCTCAGAGTCGTCTTTCTTCTCTTCCTTGTCCCCATCACCCTCAGATTTCTTAGTTTTGTCATCGTTAGAACCGTCGTTTTCAGCCTGCAGGTAAAGACAATCCCAGACACGTCCATCTCCCCTGCAACCTTTATCAGAACGCCAGCCCCTC